GATTTTGTTTTTCTAAATAATGTAGTTTCATATAATACACGTAATTTAAAAATATTAATTCTGTCTACATATGTGAAGAGATTTTTCTCTCTTCAGACAATTTAAATTTAGAAAATCATAATTATATACTTTAGTTAGAGAAACAAATATTGTGAAGTTTTTATTTAATTTTTTTGAATACTTCTCATGAAAAAGATCTCTTTTTTCTTTTCTTTCAAACTCATTTTGTGCTCCTTTACTATTGCTACTAGAAATAATTAAATCTAGGTGAGCTATTATAAGAATTAGTAAGGTAAGATATTCAATGAATTTATTTTTTCATATAAATTCCCCTGAATTATTTATTCAAACTATTTCTACTCTAATTGTATCCTTGTTCTTTTTGTTTACTTATTTTTAATTGTTTTCCATTTGAAATTGGCATTCAGTTTGTTGGGTAATTGAATAAGTTCATTGTAAACAAATCTAACATCCAAGACTCTGACACCCAACCTTAGTTCAGTAGATAACTAATTGTAAAAAAAAAAAAAAAAAAAAAAAAACAGTTCCATAGAGATCTCTGTCCACAAAATTTTTCTCTGATCACTCACCTGGGAGCAGAATAAATGAATGATCTATGTGAAAAGAATGCCCAAGAGTTTTCATGAATAGCATGTAAATAGCATGCTCAGAAAGCACCCTGCATATTTCCTACTTTGCCTTCCTAACCTAGTCTTTTTTCCTTTGGCACCTGCAACAGAAAAATTAACTGCTTTGAAGCTAATAGTTAAGTATGCATCTGTGAACTAAAGATTCTCTGTCCTCTCAAAATTTAAAAATTCAAGTATACTTCCTCACCTATCCTTTATATTGAAGAATATCAGAAAACAGTAAGTAAAAGGTACTTGTTTTCAGAGGAGGTTGGAATGTGTGTACATCATAATAAACAACACACATATGAAAGGCAGAGTGTATTTCATTTCAGAAAGCCTTTTCTGACTTTTGGAAATACCTAGTTCAGTGGCTCTGCTAAATCTAGTGTAGACTTGCAATTAATGTCTCTCCTAGACTCTCACTTAAATTGAGTGTAAAAACATTAAAAGCAAAGACATTTTTGACAGACATTAACCACTAGAATGAGGTATGAAGCTTTCAGTCAATTACATGACCATCTCATATCAATCAATTTTAATATATATTCAAAATTTCGTGGGTTGATTTCTCCATATTTTTCAATCGGAGTTTGGGTCAGATGAAAATAACCTGTATTTCTTCTGGGATATCTTCTACTCTGTATAAAGCTAAACAGTACTTGCAAGTATAAATTAAATAATATAGGATGAAAATGAAGTGAAAACAAGATATACTAGAAAGAAAATATGGAGTATATATGAAGATAATGTCAATAAAATACAGCATAAATAAATTCCCATATAGTGAAATAGGGATGGCAAATCACTGGAAGAAGAAGATCCAAAAGTCATAGAATCTAATAGTTAAAAGTAATGAAATATGAGAATGATTTGAAAAAGATGAGACTTCTAAGGATATAATAAATGACCTTAAATGTATTTTAGAGTGACTTGCATAGATTAGGCATACCTACTGTTCTGTCTCTAGGCAAATATACAGAAAAAAAAAGAACAGGAAGAGCACAATTAACAGTCAAAAACCATACTTACTGAAGAGAAAATGTGAACAAAATCCAAAATAATACAAATTAAAAAATTGCAGCAAGCATACTGGAAGTGTGATTGTCATCACACTCAGGTAAAATAAATTATAGAAAAATTTCTGGAGGACAAAATTAAAAGTCCATCTTTAAAAAAAAATTGAAGATTGAAGCATATTTCAAGAAAGCATTTTTTTTTTCACATAAAAAGGACTAGGGAAAATAATTGAAGAATGGTCCATCACAGTAAAAGATATTATGTGAATATAATAATGTTTTAAAAATAGAAAACATGTATTTTCTATTGCAATTTTTAATAATGTAGGTTCACCGTAATTTTTAGAAAATTCAATATATCAATAGGATAATTCTGACTAGGCTTATTTATTATCCTTTCCACATAATGGAATTTTTATGTGAATGAAAACTTAGGCCCAGAGATGTTCCTAAATTCTCTGTGCTTCTATAACATCTTGAGTAACAGAGCTAAATAAAGATTAGGGGTCACACTATTTCAGAAAACAATCGTGCAGTAAAGATGTTCTCTTTTGTTTTGTTTGAAATCTTCAAAATCGAAATTTATAGTCTTGATATGTCACTACCTCTTTTAAGGCATTGATTACATTTTGATCTTTACCTTTACCTTTCCAGTTATTAGGAGACTCTAAAATTAACGATTAACAATATCCTAAATTATAGATAGTAAAATTTCCTTTCTCATAAGGTCTAGGGTAGGGTGAGTACTATTAATTTAGTAGAGGTAAAACCTTATTACAGTTTTGACAAATGTGGTTCATTAAGAACCACATTGCTTGGATTTATTATTGTTTTACCATTGTTATTTCTTCTGGACTAGGACAGTATATAATCAAAAGGCAACATTCACATCTTAACTCTGAGTAGCTTTCTATGATTCCTTACAAGTGGCACTGCAGATGAAATGAAATAGAGAATTTGAAAACTGTGCTTTGTAACTCTAAGAATGGTACCTTGAAATTGCTAATTTACTAGCAGAGTGATTCCAAATTTTATTGCTGGGCCACTGTCCTAACTTCCCCTCTGAATATTTCCCTTCTTACAGGATGCTGTGGTGGAGTGTGTTTTATAAATCCACAATATTAAACAAAATCTTCTTTACCTAATTTATCTCTCTGAACATGTGGTTTTACTCAGCTCATTAATTTTGTGGTTTTCAATATAACTTTCAGCCAAAAAAATAAAGAAATGTGTCCTGGAAACATAAAATTCCTTGTGTATTTTAAGAAGTATCTGGGCCTGAATGAAGATATTAACTTTTCTCCTGACAGCAATTGATGTGGAATTCAAAAATATATTTGTATTTACCTATGATTAGTGGATCACTGGGACCTGTTCAAATTATCTTATTAAGAAAAAAGTGACAAAGTATCTTGATAAATGAAAAATTCCTACAAGATAGACAGATTACCTAAAACACAATATTAAAGAACAAATATTGAGAATCTGAAGTAATAGTCATGCAAGGAAGAGGGTACACACAAATTCATTTGTTTTGTGTGTGTGTGTTTTTAATTTGATATATATATATATATATATATATATATATATATATATATATATATATATATATATATATATATATATAACTGTATAGTGCCTTTCACATATTTTACATACATGGAGTATAACTTATTCTAAGTAGGATCCAATTTTTATGGTTGTAATTATGTGATTTCACTGATGATATATTTACATATGAACATAGGAAAGTTATATCTGATTCATCCTACTGTCTTTCTTATTCTCCTCCCCACTCCCTTTCCTTCATTCCCCTTTGTCTAATCCACTGAATTTCTATTCTCCCCTTCTCCAACCTTTGTGTGTTATTATCCATATATCAGAAAAAACATTAGGTGGTTGTTTTTTGGGGTGGTGGTGATTGGCTTATTTCATTCAGCATAGTATTCTTCAGATCCACCAATTTACCAGCAAAAGTCATAAAGGCATTCATTTTTAGGGCTGAGTAATATTAAATGGTGAATATATACTGCATTTTCTTTATCCAATCATCTGTTGAAGAGCACCAATTTTAGTTGCGTAGCTTAGCTATTATAGATTGAGCTGCTATAAACATTGATGTGTCTGTATCACTGTAGTATGCTGATTTTAAGTCTTTTGGGTACATAATGAGGAGTGGTATAACTGGGTAAAATGCTCATCCATTCCAAGTTTTCTTAGGAATCTCCATACTGCTTTCCATAGTGGTTGCATAAATTTGCAGACCCAACTATGTAGGACTGTGCATTTTTCCCCCACATCCATGCCAACATTTTACTATTACACAAATTCTTGAGCATTGTGAAACTTATGTCATTGTACCTTCACACACTCAATTTATACCTGAAGAAACTTATGTTGGAAGTGCTAGATTTCTTACTCAATTCCAAGTAATTAGTAGAATTGATTAAATCCAAAGACTTCTTACTCCCCATGGAGATGGTCTAACTCTACCACCAACTTTTTGGAGGAGGATAAGCCTATAAGAATGATTCTCAGAGTTCTAAATTTCTTGTTAATTCTTCTACTATAACTATCTTGATATTCTACTCTTCCTAACATTTCTGAAATGTTGCGACACTGCCTGTGAAAAGGATTCATGCGATTCCAAGACTCCATGCTATAGCTGCTCTAGCAGAGACCTGGAGATAAAAACCAGTAAACAGTCTCCCTAGCTGATTTTTATGGCAGCCAAAGATTGAAAACCACTGACTGGTGGTTTCCCCAGCATAGTTACCTCTACTTGCAATTTAATATTCACTATAAGGAGATCATTATTTTATGCATTTATTATTCAAAGGAGGTAATTCAGATGCAGAATATTTAGCTATTTTTTATGTGGTTGTCATGTTTACATTTTTAATTAAATGAAGTGGGAACATATTCTTGAAATTTCTACAGAAAAGTAGTTATCTTTACTTGGATGCTAATTCTTCTTCTCACCTCATTACCTGCTTCAACTCTGGCTATACACTTGTGAAATTTTTCTTTTCTTCTGTTTTCCTGATAGAATATAGCTATAGAATAGCCTTATAATGAGATTACTTCAAACAATAAGTTCCTTTTAAATATGTTATATTTCCCATTTTTTGCTGTAGAAATGTCATATTTTTATTTTAAGTACCATTTCTTGTAGTATCATGAATGGAAATTTGGTCACCATGCTAGAGACCTTTGCCTTTTTTCCTCCAAGAGTTATTGCACACTATCCTCTATAATAGTATGGCCAATATGTAGTTATACTTTTTAACTAATTTTAACTATTTCTAATCTTTTGCCACTTCCTTATTATAGGTGAGACAACTTGAAGAGAATGACAATAGTTAATGAAAGTCATCATGAAGAGTTCATCCTACTAGGCTTTGCAGACCTACATTGGCTAGAGCTTCCTCTATTCGTTATTCTTCTCATAACATATCCCCTGGCCTTGATTGGAAACATTGCTATCATTCTGGTTTCCAAATTAGATCCTCATCTCCACAGTCCCATGTATTTCTTCCTCACCAACCTCTCCTTTCTAGACATGTGTTATACCACAAGCATTGTGCCTCAGATGCTATTTAATCTGGGAAGCTCTACGAAGACCATTAGCTATATTGGGTGTATAATTCAGCTTTATATCTTCCATATAATGGGGGGCACAGAATGTCTGCTCTTGGCTATTATGTCCTTGGACCGCTATGTGGCCATCTGCAGACCTCTGCACTACACCCTCATCATGAATCAACATACTTGCATCTTGCTAGTATCCATTATGTGGATGACTGGAGTGATCTTTGCTTTCTCAGAAGCCACTCTTACATTACAATTGCCATTGTGTGGTGTCAATAAATTGGATCACTTGTTGTGTGAAATTCCAGTTCTGATAAAGACTGCCTGTGGTGAAAAGGAAGCTAATGAGCTTGCACTGTCTGTGGTGTGTATTTTTATATTAGCTGTTCCTCTATGTTTAATCCTTGCCTCCTATGCTAGTATTGGACATGCTGTATTTAAGATTAAATCTTCTGAGGGAAGGAAGAAGGCCTTTGGTACATGTTCCTCTCATCTCATTGTAGTTTCCTTATTTTATGGTCCAGCCATTAGCATGTATCTTCAGCCTTCCTCCTCTATCACAAGGGACCAGCCCAAGTTCATGGCTCTCTTCTATGCAGTAATGACACCAACACTAAACCCCTTCATCTATACCCTAAGGAATAAGGATGTAAAAGGGGCCTTAGGGAACCTAGTGAGGAACATTTGCAAATGCAAATAAAATTACTTGTAAAATGCAGTTTTTCTAATAACTCACTTAAAATATTTTTAGTTGTAAACAGACACATTACCTTTATTTTATTTATTCATTTTTATGTGGTGCTGAGTATAAAATCCATTGCCTCACACACAGTATGCAAGTGCTCTACCACTTAGCCACAACCCCAACCCCCTAATAATTCATTTTTGACTAATAATATAATCTCATGTTATATGTTCTTTTTGTCAAATATATTTTGTTTCTGACATTTTTAGTCACATTGAGTATGAGTGATATCAGATTATTTGTACTAGTAGGGAAAGTTGATTTGTAAAAATGCAGTAAATAGACTTTTCTGTTTGAATATTGAACTAGTAACTGTACTGAGTAGTAAAAGGAGAATTTTAAATTTTAATTGCAATATAAATCCATTAGTTCAAGCTCACCATCATAAATACACACCACATAAAACAACACCAATATGCTTCCTATCAGGGTTACCTATTAAACATTATATGAATTTTGTATTTTGACAAATTTCTGTAGGCAGTATGGCTTAACTTTATGTTTAGGCTGAAACATTCTATGCTTTAAAAGAATCATTAGTTTATCAAGCTCAGCTCATGTAGATCTTATCACTTCTTCAAAAATACATTGTAAATCTTGTTTACATAATTAATATGCAATGTTTTACATGATTAATTAAACAACTTATCATTAAATATTACAATGAATAGAATTATGAGAAAAACTATTAGTAGATGTTTAAACGTTCATTTTAAATATCATAAGCATGACTCTTTTGAATCAATGAGTAAATAAGTTAATAATGTGCCACTACCTGAAAATATTTCTATGCATAAATTGAAACAGCCAGAAATGTCTTTTGAACCAGAGAAAGAATCAGTGTGAGAGTGAAGTGTATATTTGGAAGGCTAGCAACAAGATTACATCAACAAATAATACAAGTATCTCTATATTGATACAAATTTTGGATGCAAATGATGTTCAAAAATCTGTGACATCCTAAAAGTAAATCTTTTTTATAAAACTTACACTTCTATCTTAAAATATTGTCATAATTAGTTCTATTTTGTGAAAGCAAATTCATGATTTTTGTGGTTAAGTAGTGTTGAATTCCTATGTTAAGAAGTCAATATGATGTTGCATAGTGAAGGCATATATACTTGTACAAAAATCCCTCATTTGGACTTTTCAAATGTGTCTTCCAGTATAATCAAGATCTGAGAAAAATCACAAAAAAGGAAAATCACATGGTACAATGAACCACACAACCAAAATCAACTGCAACCAGATCTATTCTTTGAAAATAACAGATCATCTGGTGCTAGACCAGGTCTTGAGACCTTTGGAGCTTGGCAACTATTTTAAGTAATATAAATATTGATTTCTGGGTACTTACTAAGGGATTGTCACCAAAAGTTTTTAAATTTCCAGACTGTCATACTTTAAATTTTCTTAATATTTTTTTAAATATTTGCATATTCATGAGGTAGGCTGAGGATGAGATCCATTTTAAATATGGCAGAATTCATTTGTATTTATATGCAATCTATATACACAGATGAAGGTAATCTTGAGAAATATCGTTTGTGCATTTTGATTATAATCCATCACAGCAGATAAGTGTAGAATTTTCCACTTGTAGCATCACATTAGTATTAAAAAATTTCAGATTTCAGAGCTTTTTGGATTAAGGATGCTCAACCTGTAAGGATATTTTGAGCTTTGGGAGGAAAGACTTCAATTCTGCATTAAAAGCATAGCTATAAAGGTTGCCTATAGTTGTTTATAGTGCTTTCTTATATTATCCTGAGTCCTGATGCATTTGACGTGTATGCTATTTTCTTGGTCTGTAAAGATTATTCATTTCGGAAATGTAAATGTAATCCAGACTTGGTGAAGTATCAGAACTAAGAATTAACACAAAATTCTCAGGATAAAGAATACTTATAACAGTGGTGGGAAAAACCCACAGAAATATTTTATTTGTACTAGTGAACTTCACATTTCTAAGGTATGTATGTTCAGTATGTTTCAAAATTTAGTTAACCTTTAAGAAGCTCTGAAGAAAAGGCATATCATTATATCAAAGTGAAATTGTATTCTATTTTCAATGGAAAGCATAAGCAATATTGAGAGTGCCTTTTTCAAGAAAGTTAATTAGAAACTTATCATTTCCCAAAGAAATCAGACTTATTCTGAAGAACAAATAGAAAACATTAAATCATTTTAATTGTAATGATAAAAGACAGTTAAGTCTTTAAGAAATTAAAATGGTTTAACTATGGTTTTCTCTAAACTAAAGATATCCTCATCTATGCTTAGCATACTAATGGCTAGACAAGAAGTGCATCCCCTTCTAAGAGGGATAATTAAACTAGATGTAAATTAGAATTCTGCTTTAACAAATGCCTTTAGGTCTTAATATAAATCCAATATCTTTTCAAACTGTCATATTTAAAATTCCCAAGCCTTAAAGGAGACACAGAGGCCACTGGTAAAAACGGATAGACTGAAGAAGCATTATATATGGTGGGACTGGAAAATCTGTCAGATTTGTTTGAAGAAAAAACAGTAGACATAAATTTAGATAACTAATGTCCTAGGTATCTCTCTGATATATGGATGCTAACTCATTACAAGAAAGAGTAAGGAGGAGAAGTATATAATTTTATTTGATTAGACAAAGGGGAATAAAGAAAAGGGAGGTGAGACTGAAATAAGAAAGTAGAATGAATTATACATAACATTCCTATGTTCACATATGAATACATGACTAGGGTAACTCCACATTGTTTAACAACAAGAATGGGATCAATATTTTAATGACTTGCACTCCATGTATATCTAATATTAAATATCAAAACACACCCTAATGTCATATAGATCTTAAAATAAAAATATTTTTAAAAGGCCTTATATGAAAAGCCTTCAATGAACCTCATACCCAATGATGAAAAGTTGAAAGCCAGATGGGTATTCATTTTCACCACATTTTTTTTCAACACAGTACTGCAGTCTTAGTCATAATAATTATGTGAAGAAGTGAAATTGTCTCTATTTGTTCCATTAATAAAAACTACTGGAACTAATTAGAGAATTTTATAATGTTGTAAAATACAAAATCAAAACAAAAATCAATGTTTCTATGTAATAATAATGAACTATATGATAAAATCTCAAGAACACAATCTCTTATAAAACTAGAAAATTTTAAATACCTCTGAATACTTTCAACCAATGAAATGAAAGACCTGCCACTGAAAACTGCAAAACACTGATGAAAGTAGCTGAGAAAAACAAATAAGTGGAAAGATATGTTTATGGATTGGAAAAATTACTGTTGTTAAAAGGTTCAAAGAGAGCTACAGAGTCAATGCAATTCCTTATCAAATTTCTAATGTTATTTTTCATGGAAATATTATAAACAATTCTGAAATTCCCATAGAATTATTTTTAAAATTCCAATATTAACAAAATGGTCATTACCAAAAAGAAACTGAAAACATTGTTCTGATTGATTCAAAATATACTTTGAAGCTATAGTAATGAAAACATGGTGCTGATAAAAAAAAATAGACACATCAGCTTATGGGACAGTCAGGTGTCCCATAAGCTGATGTGTCTATAATAGACACATCAGCTTATGAGAGTCCAAATATGAACCCACAGATATACATTGAATAGACTTTCAACAAAAATGCCAGGAATACACAAGGGGAAAATATCACATCATCAATAAATAGTATGGGAAAAACTGGATATCCACATACAGAAGAATGGAATTGGTTTCTTATATAATCAACTCAAAATGGATTAAACACTTAATGTAATACCAGAAACTATAAAACTACTAGAAAAAATAGGGGAAATCTAAACAATATTGGTCTGGGTATTTTTTCAAGATGTGACCTGAAAAACATAAGCAATAAGATAGTGGGATAGGGAGGGGAAGCGTGGGAGGAATAGACAAACTCTAGATAGGCAGAGGGGTTGGAGGAGAAGGGACAGGGCACGGGGTTATTAATGATGGTGGAATGTGATGGTCATTATTATCCAAAGTACAGGTATAAAGACATGAATTGGTGTGAATATACTGTGTATATAACCATATATAATGTGTAAATACAATGTCATTTAATACTAGTGGCTACCTTTAGAGAAAGGAGAGAGTGGTCAGAGGAAAACTATTTCCATTTGTCTCTCTACTCAACGTACTTGTTTTTGTTTTCAGAAAAATGTAGCTAATATATGTAATTGAAAAATCTTAGTGGTATCTCTGTGTGTAATGTACACAAAGTGGAGGGAGACAAAGAAACAGTACACAGAACTCAATCATCATTTCATATTTTTCTTATAAATAAATTCAATATTTTGAAGGTTGTTTAAAAATATTTCAATTTTTCTAATTGGAAAGGTCACTTTCTTCTTTTCTTTCAAAATTATGCTCCATTATCAAAAATCTATGTGAGCTGTTATAAGAATTTGTCAAATAAGAGAATTCAAGATATTCGTACGTAAATTCTCCAGAATCATTTATTCAAATTAACTATGCTCTAATTATTTTCTATTTATTTATTCTTTTAATTGTATTATCTGTGAAATTATTGTTCAGCATCTTGGGAAATGGAGTGAGTTTATTTTAAACAAATCTAACATAAACTAACTCCCAAACTCAGCCTGGAGGTAACCAAGTGTACATAAGAAGCATTTCCATGGAGAGCTTTATTTAAAGGAACTTGCTCTGTTAAGTCATCTTGGAGAAAGATATATGAATGGACTATGCAGTAATAATGCCCAAGAAGTCTCAGGAATAGCATACAAATAGCACTCCCACAATGCATATATTTGATATTTTCTACTAATGCCTTCCTAACCTAGGTTTTTTTTTTTTTTCTCTTTGGTACCCCATATCACCTGATAAATTAAGTTCTGAATGGAATAATTAAATAATCATCTGCATATTATGGTTTATTTATTCTTTTCTGAAAGCTTGA